TAGTGATAAAACATGTACTTCAGATTTTCTAGTCTATTTGTTTTTCAAGTATGTCGTGGTGTTTTATCTGCAGGTATTGCCAGGTCTTGCGATGTTATTGCCTTTCAGAGGAACTTTATTTGCCATGTTGGTTTTGAAATAATTCTGAGATCATTTTTTCTTCGGTTTTGATTTTTGTGCCTGTAGGACACGCGGGGGTGATTCTTCTTGTTTTTTTTTTTTTTTTTTTCCTTAATTGTACCAGGTAGTGCTAACGAAGCCTCACATAAGCAGCTTTGTAAAGGGCATGGTTTGGCAGGTGGGACAGCAGCTAAATGGCAGCTAGTCAAGGGTGAATTCCTGGGCACTGAGGTGCTCTTCTGCTCTGTTTTCTTCTTTTTATTTAAATTCATTCTGTTGATATCTGTAGCAAGAGAGCTGTGTAGGCCCTGCCTAGGCTTGGCTTACCTCCTAGAGATGCTAAATCATAGGATGGTAGAAAGGTTTGAGATGAAAGGGACCTTTAAAGATCATCTAGTCCAAATAACATCCTGCTCAAGCACTTGCCCTTTGGGATTCCATTACTTTAAATTTTGTTTTTCAAGGGTAAAATAGTTGTTAAATAAGGAAAAGAAACAGTTGCATCACTGAACAAATCTGAGCTGACTCTGCGCAGTAGCTTGGCAACTCCTTCCCCCACAGCCCTGGCATTTCTTGTTCTCAGCAATGTTGCCATTTTCATTTGTCAAGTTTCTCAGCTAACAGTGACTTTTTCTGCCTCCCCCCGCTCCCTTTTTTTGCCTGTTCCAACCTGGTTCGTTTCTGAGAGCAGGGAAATTTCCAATTCTTCCAATTACAAGCTCATTGTTGCCCTTTTGCCAGTTTTAATAAGCAACCTCAGTCCACAGTAACAATTATATATCATCAGGCTTTCCTGCCTACACATTTCTGCTCACAGCAACATTTTACCACTTGCCATCATAAAAACCCTGGCTCGTGCCTCCTGATATCAGAAAGCTGGGCTTTCTTGAATAATGGATGGCGAGTGCAGCTCCAGGCCACCAGAAACGCAGAGTTTGTCTCAAACCGGTACCCGCCGGTTGCCTGTGTTGGTACCACTGTCTGTAGGAGGCTGAGTGTTGTTGGTGCTGTCATTTTAATCCACTGTGGGGTTCCGGTCTGTATGCCTGGCAATTCAGAGTCTGAGTGGGTCAGGGAGGCAGCAGCCCACAGAAAATCTGTGTTGGAATGGTGTTTCGGTAAGATTTTGGGGGCTGACGCACGCTTGTAGCGTGACACCGAAAGAAACGTGTGTCAGGAGAAACACACAGTGAAATTAAGGTTATATTTAGGCACGAGGGACCAAGTGTGGTCCCTGAGGATGGTTACGAGCTCTTTCGGGTGGGTTGTGCTTGCAGTCAAGGTTGCCTACAGGCACTTACACATTTAAAAAACATTTAGCACAAGGCAATCCGTGAAAATCACAGCCAGTCCCAGCCAAGGGGAGGTCAGTACCCCTGGACAGGCTCTGGCAAGCTGGCCAGCCTTGTCCACACTGGAAAGCTTTTGCTGCTCAAGCTCCGCTGCCAGCTCCCGATCCTCAGCACAGCGGCGGTGGATTATGGACAACACACGCCGGCCACAGGGACACTCTTCCACCTTCCCAGCTGACCAGTCTGTGCTGGCCAAGCCTCCCTTGCGTGGGCTGGGCCTGGCGCTGGCCCAGCCCCAGGTTGTGCCTGCTGCCAAAAGTTTGCATAGTATCAAATTCTACTTTGGCTTTGCTTACAGACAGAAATGGTAGGGAGTATAATTAGCTCGGTTAATACGTTCAATTGGCACACGCTTGTTGTGTGTCACCAGCCAGCGCCTGAAGCTCATTAGCTCACCGGAGCACCCATTTACACAGGATTAACACGCAGCGCTTCCAACTCCAGGCCGCCCCGGCTCCAGGTGCCCCGTGGGCGCTGTGAAGGCCCCTGGGGCTCCCCGTGCCGCCAGACCCGGGCCCAGCCGCCTCTGCCGGCCGCTCGGGGCTGGCCCTGGGACTGCCGTATCTGATGGTAACCATCTGTTGGGCGGCCGGCCGAGGCTCCCGTCCCCGCTCGGCTGGTCCATCCCGGTATCTCCCCTGAGGGCAGGCCCAGGCTCCGCCAGGCTCCCGGCCCTGCCCTGGGCCGCCGTGAGGCCGAGCGGCAGCGCTGCCCTCGGACCCGGGCTCCGTCCCCATCCGCTGCGGGCGTCCCCGGGGACGCGGGGGCGGGGCGGGGGCGGGGCATGGGTGGGTAGGCCCGCCCGCCGTGACAGCCGTGGGGGCCCCGGCTGCCCCCGGCCCGGACCGGCCCGGCCCGG